TGAAAATTTATTATTATTATTATTATTATTATTATTATTATTATTATTATTATTATTATTATTATGATTCCTCATAAATTAAAATCGGTATCGCGTTTTATTTAAAAAAAAAAAATAAATAAATAAATTTTAATTTTAAATAACATTCAAAAATTTATTTATTTATTATTCGTTTGAATTTTTTTTTTTTTTTTTTTTTTTAACTTTTAAATTTTGATAGTGTCGAGAGTTGACAAAAAAAAAAAAAAAAGGAAAAAAGGAGAATAAAAAAAGGAAAAAGTGAGATCTTGACTCGCAAAAGAAAATTTTAATAATATTAATAATAATAATAATAATAGGATTTATTTAATTTTTAAATGAAATATATTTCGATTTCTCACGCCATTTTTTTTTTTTTTTTTTTTTTGTTGACTTTTTTATTATTTATCGAAATTTATTTATCATCTTTTAATTCAATCGAACTATTAGGAAATTTAAGATATTTTATTAAATAATAAATTAATAAAATAATAATAATAATAATAATTATTATTATTATTATTGATTTTTAACGTAAAAAAAAAATTTATTTAAAAAAAAAACGTAGGTTTATTGTCGTTTAATTATTATTATTATTAATATTGTTTTTTTTCTTTTCTGTAACGTTATTTAATTTTAGTAATAATAATGATTAATCTAACGACTAAACAAGAAAAAAAAAAAAAAAAAATTTCATTTAATTTGATAACAGCTGATAAAAAAAAATTTTTTTTTTTTTGATTATACGGAACTTCCTTTTAAATTATTATCAATGTTGACGTAGTATTTGATTTACAAAAAAAAAATTACCTTTTCGTTATTGGGTTAAATTGTTTTTTTTTTTTTTTTTTTTTTTTTTCTAATACGTTTTAAACACGTTATTATTATTATTATTATTACGTTTTGTGTTTTTCAGATTTTGTTGTTCTTATTTTATTTTTTTTGTACGGTGTGAAAATTTGAGAGGGAAAAAAAGGGAAAGGAAAAAGGAAAATGTTACGCTCGGATGAAAGTTTTACCAATCGTGTTAAATAAATTGATCGGTGGGACTTTCGTCCGTTTAAAACATTTTAATTATCATCATTATTTATGGAAAAATTCTAAATTTTCCAAAAAAGAATTAATAAATCTCTCAACGCAACAGCACTCACGCACGTAAATAATTAAAAAAAAAAATTATTATTATCTTTTATTATTATTATTATTATTAATTTATTTGTTTTATTGTGTAATAATTGAAAATTAAATTATTGATATTATGTATCGGATTTTAATTTAAATTACAACGATGATGATGATGATGATGATGATGATATCTTTTCTTTTTCTTGTAGTAACAATCGAGTAAGTATTATTAATATTATTATTAATAAATTAATAATTTTTTTCACGACGGTTAATATTCAAGAAAAAAAAAGGTAAGTAAAACATTTTTTTTTGCTTCGAGCCATTGTAAATTTTTTTTTTTTTTTTTTTTTTTTCAAACAACACACGAAAACCTTAAGGTATAACAATTAAAGGTACAAAAAGTGAGAAATTTTTTTTAACCTAATGATAATATATTCATCAAGAGATACAGGCAACAAAAACAGGATTTTTTTTGGTTGTTGTCGAGACGTGAAAGTACGAGAAAGAAGAAAGTTTTCTAAACGTTAATTAATAGACTAGTAAGTAAAATAATAATAATAATAATAATAATAATAAGTTTAAAAATTGCAAAATACAGGATTTAAATACATAAACAATAAGTAAAATAATTTTTTTTTTTTTTTTTTGCAAAAAAGGTACGTAGGTATAAGGTATTTATTGTTTTTTTTTTTTTTTTTATAAAAATAAAATTTTTTTCCTTTTTTTAAAAAATTAATTTTAATTAATTTTTACGGTTATTTACGTTATTATTATTATTATTATTATTTTATCTTGATTATTTCGTTCCAGTCTTTCCATTTAATTATCCGTATTATTATTATTATTATTTAATTTTATGTTTAATAACTAAATTTAAAAAAAAAAAAAAAAAAAAAAAAAAAAAAAAAACAAAAACCAGTTCCGTAAAATTTATTTCGACTGAAATTAAAATAATATTTTACATTTTTTTTTTTTTTTTTTTTTTTTGTTAAAATAAAAAATACGACGAGTCGTTATTAAAATGAAGAGAAAAAAAAAAAAAAATTCTTCGTCGGATATTTTTATATAATTTTACCAAAAATTATGTGGTAGGATGCCATTTGGTAGTGGAATGAATTCTTCTTTGAGTACTTTTTGTAAAAAACCTTCTAATCTTACAATGGGTCCTCCCGCACCTAATGGTGTCACCTAAAAAATTATTTTTTATTATTATTTGAATTGTTTTCTTGTAACAAACAACAACAACAAACAATCATTAAAACTTTTCCAAACTTACTTTTTCCAATTTGGGAAAATATTCTTGACAGATGTAAGCCAATAATTTTTTAAACTGCCTGCCGTATAATTTAAACATGGCGTTTCCGGCAACTTCTAGAAAATCGTACAGTAAAGTGGCGCAAATGTCGGGTCTCGGACTTAAGTTTAACAAAGCGGAAAGCCACCTCCAACCTTCGGACAATCCCAGGGGATTCATTTTTCCCGGTTGACGGGGTTTTGAAATTAAAAGAGCTGCATAAAGTCTCATTATTCCACTCATTCTTTTTAAAAAACTATCTTGTTTTTCCACGTCGCCATTTTGAGAATAATGATATCCTAATGATCTGAAACCAAAATAAAATAAAATAAAATTTAATAAATATGTTTTTTTTTTCTTTTTTTTAGAAAACCGTTATTTACTGACTTGTGATAATCAACATCCGATTGTCCTTCTACCTGTGGCATAAATACGGGAGCCAAATACGGACACGCAGAATGAAATTGTGCTAAAACTAATTGACCGAAATCCGGGAATTCCACCCAAAGTGAAACCATAACGGCTGCTATGGAAAATGCTGCATCGGGTTTACTGGATACAGTCAAATCACCCTGTCTCTGGAGTTAAAAAAAAGCAAATATTACATCATCCATTTTCTTTTTTTTTTTCTTTTTTCCAGGATTTCAATTTATATGAAGAAGAAATACTTACGACGAATTTTTTAGCAAGTAAATGTTTACAAAAATTAATTCCCAAAGGATGTTGCGATGCATCGACTTTAATTTCACCAACTTCGACCGTGTGCCCGGATAAAAGATGATAAAGTTTCATGTATTTGTCCGTTAAATGCGACGCATTGATTGGAGATATGGCATTAACTGGAATTGTCACAGCCTTCTGACAATTGAATTTGAATTTTTTCATCGTTTCGTCCGTTAAAAGGGGTTCGAGACTTTTTTCAAAATTTTCCAAATTGTTTTTTAAATTTTTAAATAATTGAAATGATCTCGCGTCATAACAGTCGGAAAGACCTGAAAAATTCAATAAATAAAATACTTAATAATTTTTATTCGTAAATTACCACTTTTAAATATTTGAGTCTTACTAATGAATTGATTCACATTTTTATCATCATTATTATTTATTGTCGAAACGTCACCGTCGAACGAGTTATCCATGTAGGTGGTAATGTTTTCTTTTTGTAGGAAATTTTTATCGGAAAGTGAATGTAATTTGTTTTCGTCAAAGGTTTCGAAATAACCTGAACTAATTATGTCGTTGCTATCGGAAAACCTAACTCTTTTGTATTTTTTTTTTAACGGACTGAATATGTTAAGAGTTTGTATGTCGCCATCTTCGTTAACATCATCACTCGAATCATCCGATTTGTAATGTCTTTTTATTTTGAAATACCTGCAGGGATTTGATACTGAATACGAGGTATTGAGGTGCTGAGAACCAGATGTGTTAAATTCATTTTCTAAAGTGTTATTTTTTTTTGTCTTTCTCTTAGCCGGACAATAAAGCGATTTAGGATATTTATTTTTTAGTATGGATGGTAAAACATTTTGACAGGAATTTTGAGATGAATCATAAGATACGTTTACAACATATTTTTTTAAATATGATTTTCCATTAATCGATCCAGACATTTTATTATGAAAATCAATTTAATCAGCGTTTTAATTTCTTTTTATAAATAACATTTTACGATAAATTTTCAATAAGTAAAAAATTAAAACGGTAAATTCTCTATATATATAATATATATATTTTTATTTTTTTAAATTTTTTTTTTTTTTTGTGCAACGGGGAAAAACTAGCAGAAAACTTTTTTTTTTTTTTTTTTTTTTTTACGACTCTCAAGACTTGTGAAATTTAAAAATTCGTTTAGAATTATTACTTTTGGGTAAAGTGCCAATATTTTATGTAAAAATCCAACGTATTCCGTTACTTATTATGGAAAAAGAAAAGTATGTAAATGTGTTTGGACTATGATTTAAATGACCCACGATCGACTTAACCACAGCTCGACTAAATGCCTCGTTTCTCATTAATTTTTGAACTTGGCAGTGTTAACAATAAGTATTGAAAGTGTTTATAAAAACAGTCTCAAAATTTTTTTTTTCTCGAAAAACCAAATAAAACAATGAAGGCTTTATTCATTCACTTGGGAGGCTGCAGATTAATTTCGAAAAGGAAGATGAATATGGTGAAAGTAATGTACAAGTTTTTCATTAAAAAAAAAAAATAAAAAATAAAATTTACCTGATAGCAATGATTCATTTTTATTTTCTTCATTTTTAACTTCGCTTATACTTTCTTTTTGTACTTCTTCCGGGCTAGTTATTTTGATTTGTTCACTCTCTTGTTTGTTTACATATGCCTCATTAATTTTAGTCACTTCTTTAATAAAAAATTCATGCATTAATTTTATTGTTTTAACTGATTTTACAGCATTAATTACATCTTCTTCTAAAACCTCTCCTTCTTTAGATTTTTTTATTAGGGTTTCAAATAGTATTGCACAGTCTTTTAATATTTTAGAATGTTTAGATGCTAATTCAGTCATCGCAGCTTTGTCTTTACACGATTTAATTATTTCTAAAATTTTTTTATATTCTTCATTATACTCCTTTTGAGAATCGAATAAAATTTTGTAGGTTTGCTTTTTTTTCAAAAGGATTGCTTCCGATTTCCTTCTCGCTTCTTCTTCTGCATCTTTAAATTTTTGATTTCTCTCTTGAATCCTTTGAGCTTCTTTTAAATTATCTTGTTCAAGTTGAGCTTCTTTTTTCGGTTTATTAAGTATTTCTAATTTATGAATATCATTTATAATTTTACTTTCTAAAAGCATTCTTTTGGTAATTCCTTCCTCCAACCTAGACTGGTGTAAATCCTCCAGACCATTTCTAATTAATCTTTTAGTGTCATACATGTTTTGAATTCTTTCCCTCATAACTTTATCAACAGTTAAACGTCTCAGAGTATCATATTCATTTAACAATTTCTTACTTGAATAACCGACACATAATGAATCAGGTGTTGTTGATATTCCTTCAGGTACCACACCAATTTTTTCTTTGTTTTCTTCACTTACAGTGAAATTTAAAGACTTTTGATAATTATGTGATGGAGTTTTCTTGGGAGTGCTGCTATATGGAATCAGTAAATCATTGATTTTACTACTCGGACTAGAATTATTCACATTAATAGTTTCATCACTAATATTTTTTCCTAATGTCACAGAATTAATATAAGGAGTAATGTTAATTGCTTTAGTTAATACAGATATTTGCAACTCATTAAAGAGCGCAATACATTCATCATCTTCATTTTTCACCATTTTGTACACTGTGTCTAAAAATAAATTAAATTATTTTAAAACTTTTTAAAAAAAAATTTATGCATTCAATAATATAACTTAAAACCAAGTCACTATGTATTGCTAGAAAATAATGTAAATTAAAATTTTTCTTTTATAAATCATTAAATTAAATTTGGATAATTTGAATAATAAACAATTCATAAAATTCTGTTATTTAAATTTTTTATTTTGTTCTCAGGTGACACGGTTAACGGTAACAAGTAAAGTATTTAATTTTGAAAAGTGAATTACCTATCTAAACTAAATTCAAAATATAAACACGAATAAAATTAATTTGAAATATTTTTTTACTGCATTAAAAAAATAAGTGTTAAATAATAATAAATTTTATAATTTTAAATATAAATAAAAAAAAAAAGGTACAGCTTCGTAGTAGCTCTTTTGGCAACACTGTAAGCTGTGCAAATTTTTACAGTGGCCCTGATTTAGTTGTTTAGCTTAAGGCCCAGCCTTATTATACCTACTGTTTAAAAGAGTCTAATTTTTTTTATTTAATTTTGTCCTTCGGGCCCTGATAAAGAAAAGGGTCACATGATTAGAGATAAGTGAAGTTTGAATTTCGTTTAGATCGTTGAAAATATCGGTTAAAAAGACCATTAATGGTCATATTGGTTATAGAAAAAAGAAATTATTAATCTTAGATATTTTTATCAAATAAAATTTAAAACATTTAATCGATTATTGTTTGTATATATTAAGTGCCATACTATTCATATCTCGCACACGTGCAGTAAGATATCAAGGAACGTGGTTTTGAATGAATTAAAATTTTTTTCCTCTTAACTATTTAAAAAAATTATCTTTGCTGGTTATGGCTCTAGGTTCTCAGGTGGCTATTTTGATTGATAATGGATGTGAAAATCATTTAGCTAATGGTAAATATTAAAACATATAATTTTAAAAAAAGTGTTTTTTTTTTTTATCATTAACTTTACCGGTTATCTTTTAACTTGGACCACAAATATTACATTTGTTTAATTTTATATTAAAATATAATTATTAACCTGTCGAAAATTTATTATAATCTTCTTCACAACATGAGTTTAGTGGTGTAAAATATATTTGTGTAGTTTTCTTTTGTAGTTGTGCGCACTATCAGTTTCATTAATTAAAAGAGGCTTTTTTTTTTTTAAAATAAGGAATTTTATAGTTAATTACAATAAATGTGGTTAGTATTACCTTAAGTTATAATAAATATATTTGCTATATCTTAAATTACATAAAATATGGAGTAATTTGTTAAAAAAATAAAATTTAAATGGGAAAAATGTTAATTCTCTTAACAATTTACATGATTTATTTATGTGTGAAAAAGTTTGTTTATTTAATATGATTTTATTTTATATATTAAAAAAAGGATAGCATTTATTATAACAATTGTTTATATTATAACAAAAGCAGTGGTGTTATAACAATCACACATATTTGAATTAAGTGTAAGTTAATTTTTTTTTTCTACAGTTTATTTTAAAGTTGTAGTATGATTTTAGCCTTGAACTTTATAACAAATGTTGCTGTTTTTTAATTATGAAAACTGCATTTTATAAATATTGTAAACAAAAAATGATTGTTGAACATTTTAATGAATAATTTTTTTTTTTTTTTTTTGTTTGAGATTTAAAAAAAAAAAAAAAAAAAAAAATGTAGCATTGGCAACATGTCAAAACTATATTTTTATTTTTTATTCAATTAAATAATAATCTTTTTAAATATATTTTGTAATTACGACTGCCATGAAAAGTATAATAACATAGGGTAAATATATTTCATTTATATTCGAATGAAATTTATCGAAAATTTATAATTCGACAATTTTCAATAAGATTCTGTTAATTTATAAACCTTTGTTTTATTACTCATATTCAATTCTATAAATACTTTATTTACTTATTTAAATATTTTTACAACAAAATTTCTTCTTAAATTTTAATTCAAAATAATAACATTATAATTTTGACTCTAAACTCATGTTTATTGTATTGTTTAGTTGAATTTTTGTTTAAAATTTTGTCGACATTTTTAATGTTTCCTTTGTTTTCTTATCTTTCTTTAAAATTAACAATAAACGTCAGTACTTTTGTACTGACTACAAATAAAAATTAAAATACTAATGAAGTACTAGAAGTACGTTAATTAAAAATAATTAATTATATAAAAAGGGCAGGTATAAATGAACGATGATAATAATAATAATAATTATTATTGTTTGAAAGCCCCCGAAATGTTGCATAAGAATGGTGTCCTTTAATGCCATTTATTGCGCAATAAAATAGTTTTTTTTTTTTTTTTTTTTTTTTTTGCGAAGTTAAAATTTATTTTTAATCTCGGACTTTGATGTCAGATGCATTAAAATGTATAACATTATTTATTATCTGGGCATTTTAAAGTGTACGAAAATATGGTTTCTACAACCTAAAAATTTTTTCTTATTATTATTATTTTATTAATTATATTTATTACTCCCGCAAAGAATTTATAATATACTATTTAGACTGTTTCGTACCAGTAAAAAATTAATATTTATATATTCCCGAATTTTTATAATTAATTAAATTATCACGTATTTTATGTAAAATATAGGAAGGAAAAAAAAAATAATAAAAAGGCTTGTTTTTATCACGTTTTTTAAATTTTATTAATATTAATTGTTTATAAAAAGGTTGTAAATATTTTTTACTATGTATACTAAAAAATTTTTTTCTATAACTGTAGGTTCTAATGAAAGCTCAGAATCAAAAACAAAAGAATATTTAAATAGTAATGAAAGTGCCGAAGAACGAAATCAAAATAATAATTCTAAAAACGAAAAAGGTGTGTGTGTGTGTGTGTAAATTTGACATCATTATTATTATTATAATTTTTTTTTTTTACTAATTTTTTATGTATTTATTTCTTAACGACGTAGAAAAAAATGATGCGAATATCAACGGAGATATAAAAAAACATATATATCAAATGAAAATAATACCCAATGAAGACAGGTTCAATGAAATACCTGATAACAGAGATGAAGTCATTGAAAAAGGTGAAGTGGAAGCAACGAAAGAAAAAGAAAAAAATGATGATAAAGAGAAAAAAGATGATCAAGAAGTTCTTTTCATACAAGATTTGGCGTTCACAGTGAAAATATCCAGTCCTGGAGCGGATTCATTTGATCTTCAGGTAAAATTACTCTTATACTTATTTAAGTTCTTGCACACACTATTAACATTAATTGAAAATTGTTATTTTCAGGTTTCCAGCATGGAATTGGTTCAAGAAATTCACCAATTATTAATGGATCGAGAGGATACCTGTCATCGAACGTGTTTTTCATTACAACTAGACGGAAACACTCTCGACAATTTTGCCGAGCTCAAAAGTGTCGAAGGTCTCAGAGAAGGTTCGGTTATTAAGGTAAGGATGTTAATTTTTCAAAATGCGAATAAATCGTGTCTCCCTTTTAAACGTTTTTTTAGATTTTTATTAAAAAAACTTGTCTTAAAGGTTGTCGAAGAACCTTACACGATTAGAGAGGCCCGAATCCACGTTCGTCACGTACGAGATCTATTAAAGTCTATCGACCCGGCTGACGCCTATAACGGTGTAGATTGTTGCTCTTTAGCTTTTTTAAATGTTGTAACTCAAGGAGATATATTGGAAAAGAAAAAAACGAAACCTGATAGTGTCGATTGCACGCCTCCAGAGTACATAATGCCTGGTTCAAAAGAAAGACCTCTTATTCCTTTACAACCTCAAGCTAAAGAACAAAAAGCACTTCAGTGCATAAAGGTAAGTTAAAAATTTTTTCATTTTTTTATCTGTGTTATTATTGTCTGATATATTTATCTTTTTACAATTAGATTTTAACTACTTCCGGTTGGAATCCTCCTCCAGGTTATAGAAAAATGCACGGAGATCTCATGTATCTGTATGCTATCACTCTTGAAGATAAACATTTTCACATTACAGCTTGCACTAAAGGATTTTTTCTTAATATGTAAGTCGGTTATTTTTTCTATTTATGTATTTATTTAAAATAAGTCAGGTATTATTTAATTTTAAGACCTTTTTTTTAAAGTTTTAACTATTTCGATTTGCTTTTTTTAGGTCTACAGAGGAAGAATTCAATCCAAAGCCGTACAATCCCTCTCATCTTTCTCATTCGCTTATCGAACTCTTGACTCATATAAGTCCCGGTTTTAAAAGGAACTTTGCAACTTTACAAAAAAAAAAAACGGCTAGGCATCCTTACGAAAGGGTGACTACTCCTTACCAAGTGTACTCGTGGACAGCACCTCAAATGGAACACACAGTGGATGCTATAAGAGCAGAAGACAGTGCGTATTTTAATTATTAATAAAATATTTAAATTTTAATTTAAATTACATTTGTTCATATTAGATTTAATTTGATTATTTAGCATTTTCGTCAAAGCTTGGCTACGAAGAGCATATTCCCGGTCAAACGAGGGATTGGAATGAAGAACTTCAAACTACGAGAGAATTACCAAGAAAAAATTTGCCGGAAAGATTATTGCGTGAAAGAGCAATATTTAAGGTAAAACTATCGAACATATTTTTTTTTTTTTTTTTTTATATTAAATTGTTTAGGTTTAATTCTAAATTTAAAACAATAGGTGCACAGTGATTTTGTTGCTGCTGCTACCAGGGGTGCCATGGCTGTTATAGATGGTAATGTTATGGCTATAAACCCTGGAGAAGAAGCTAAAATGCAAATGTTCATTTGGAACAATATTTTTTTCTCCTTGGGATTTGACGTCAGAGATCATTATAAGGAATTGGGAGGTGATGCAGCTGCTTTCGTTGCACCGGTTTGTGTTTTATTTTTGTTACTTAAAATATTTTTATATTAATGAAAAAGTTACTGATAAAAAATTTTTGTTTGAAAAAAAAAAATAGAAAAACGATTTACAAGGAGTACGAGTTTATAGTGTTGTTGATTTACCCGGATTATACACTCTTGGAACCGTTGTTATTGATTATCGTGGTTACCGCGTAACTGCACAGTCTATAATTCCTGGTATTTTGGAACGAGAACAAGAGCAATCTGTGGTTTACGGATCAGTAGATTTTGGAAAAACAGTTATATCCCATCCCAAATACGTCGAACTACTCAGTAAAGCTGGTCAACAGTTAAAAATATTGCCGCACAAAGTTTTGAATGACAAAAATGAAGAAGTGGAACTGTGTTCCAGCGTTGAATGCAAAGGAATAATTGGCAACGATGGAAGACATTACATTTTGGATTTACTTCGTACTTTCCCTCCGGATGTTAACTTTTTGAAATTGGAAGGGGAACAGTTGAGCAAAGAAGTTGTAGCATTAGGTTTTCCTATCGAGCGAAAGCACAAATTGTGCTGTTTGAGGCAAGAACTAATTGATTCTTTTGTCGAGGCTCGATACATGATGTTTATTAAATACGCTGCTTTTCATTTGCAACAGCTTGGAGTAAAAAAACAAAAAGAGCGCGAATCTAAAGCGAACCTTGAAAAGGATGTGTCGAATGAAAATAATAAAGTACCTGAAAAGCAATTGAAAACTTTTGAGGGTGAAAAAGAGGAAGAAATCGAGCCTGATGAAGCCAAAAAAATTGTAGAAAGCATTACGGATTCGATAACTGGAGAGAAAAAAGAACTCGAAGAAAGTACAAAAGAAATAGTGGTCAAAGCTGCGCATGCCGTATGCTCTTTGAAAGAAACGGAATTCGACGTAAGATTTAATCCGGATGTATATAGTCCTGGCGTCTCACATTTGAATCCAAACGGAGAGCAACTTAAAAAAGAAAGGCAGTTGGTGAAGGATGCAGCGCATTTTCTTCTCACCGTGCAAATACCTACATTTATTAGAGATTGTTTAGATCATTCGGCGGCACCTATGGACGGTGCAACATTTTCCGAAGCTCTTCACAATCGCGGCATCAATATAAGATACCTTGGTAAAATTGTCGCCATGTTGTCCAAAGTTAAACAGTTAGAATATTTATATAGTATTGCCGTAGCTGAATTGATAACGAGAGCCGCCAAGCATGTTTTCACCAATTACATTCAATCAACTGATTTAATGAACTTATCAGCATCAATCAGTCATTTTTTGAATTGTTTTCTGTCTTCCTGTCAGATGCCACATCCTCAACAAAGTTTAGACGAACTCCACAGCAAGGCGACTAAACGGAGGAACAAAAGAAAGGGTCGTAACAATCCTTTACTCGCGTCTGACGGTACGGAATGGGCTAATTTAACTCCAAAGAATTTATGGAACCAAATAAAGGGAGAAATAAAAAGTTATTTCGATTGGGAATTGAATGCGGACACGATCGACGGTTGCATCGAAACATATAGTCTTCAGAAAATCTCACTTCTGAGATCGTTTTGTTTAAAAACTGGCATACAAATATTACTGAGGGAATATAATTTCGATTCTAAAAACCGTTTAACGTTTTTGGAAGAAGACATATTGAATATATTTCCCGTCGTTAAACATATAAATCCGCGTGCGAGTGACGCATATAATTTTTACACTACCGGTCAAACGAAGATACAGCAGGGTTATCTCAAAGAAGGCTACGAATTGATAAGTGAAGCTTTAAATTTACTCAACAACGTGTACGGTGCCATGCACCCGGAAATTGCTCAATGCCTACGAATGTTGGCACGTTTAAATTACATAATGGGAGAACATGTGGAAGCGATGGCTTATCAACAAAAGGCGGTCCTAATGTCGGAAAGAGTGAATGGCATCGATCATCCGTACACCATAACCGAATACGTAAGTATTGCTTGCGTGCGTGTGCGTGTGCGTGTGCGTGTATTACAATTGATTTTTACGCTGAAAATTTTATTACAGACTCATTTGGCTTTGTATTGTTTCGCTAATACACAAGTGAGCACAGCTCTTAAACTTCTTTACAGAGCTCGGTACCTTGCGTTATTGGTCTACGGTGAAAACCATCCGGAAATCGCATTACTCGATGTAAGTTTAAGTGCGTTGAAACTTTTTTTTATGAAAAAATAAATTATTTTAATTTTTTTTTTTTTTTCGATTAGAGTAACATAAGCTTAATACTTCATGCCGTGGGCGAATACGATTTGTCATTAAGATTTCTCGAAAAAGCACTCGCACTCAATGTGAAATATTTCGGGAGTAAATCCCTTAAGGTAGCAGTGAGTTACCATTTAGTGGCAAGAACACAAAGTTGCATGGGAGATTTCAGGTCGGCGTTGAACAACGAAAAAGAAACTTATGCAATATATAAACAAGCCGTGAGTACTGGAAAACAGAACAGGAGTAGAAGAAACCCCTTTATTTAAAGTAGAGTAGAAAATTTTATTTATTTATTTATTTATTTATTTTTTTACAGCTCGGAGAAGATCACGAAAAAACGAAAGAATCTTCTGATTGCCTCAGACATTTAACTCATCAAGCCGTGGTTTTGCAGAAGAAAATGAACGAAATATATACGGGAAAAGTAGGAGCCACACTTCCGCCCATTCAAATCCAACCTCCATCGATGGGTAGCGTATTGGATATGCTAAACGTAATAAATGGAATTTTATTCGTTCAAATAAGGTAAGTTTTTAACCGAAAAAAATTATTATTATTATTATTATTTATATGTAATGACATATACACGACTCTTTTTACAGTCAAAAAGATATAGAAAATTTTAAGGCTGAAATAGAAAAGAGACAAAACAAAGAAAATTCTCCATTGTCAATTGTCGATGATAAAAAAAATGAAAGCGGAGAAATGGACGACAACAAATCGAGATGAATCTTAGTTAAAAAGAGTAGAAAAATAAAAAACATTAGAAATAATAATAATGATAATAATAATAATGATAATGATACTAAACGTCGAATCATCACAAGTAGTCAATGATTGAAATCATTAGGGGAAAATAATAATGATAATAATATTATTAGAACGATAATTAATTATTATTATCGACGCGTTTTTTTTTTTTTTTTTTTTCACACGAACAAATTTAATAAAAAATGAACAAATATCATCATCATCATCATCATCATCATCATCATCATTTTAAATAATAATAATAATAAAAAGGCGAGCGAGTGTTACTCTAAAATAATTAAAAAGAGTATGTTGATGATGATGATGATGATGATGACTCAAATTTATTATTAAAGGAAAGAAAGAAAAATTCTTTTTTTAATAATAATAATAATTACTCCTTTTTATTTTACCAATAGTTGTTATTTTTGTTTATGTTCATTTTTTTAAAAAAAAAAAAGCAGACGAAATTTTTATTTATTAATGAACAATTACATAAACTTTATATAATAATAATAATAATTAATTTAAATATTGCTAAAAAGTTTGAGAAAAGATGAGAATTGGTTTTTGAAACCGATTTGGCAACAGCGTGTATCGATAATTAAAATGATACTATATAAAAGAAGGTGATATTATTATTAATAATAATAATAATAATAATAATGATAATTGTTTTGAATTATGTATGTATTAAACAATACAAACGTTAACTACTTTAAACTTGGATTTTTGTTGATAATTTACCATTTATTGCTTTAAGAAAAAAAAAGAAATATTAATTGACAATGTTTTAAATGAAAATATTCGTTGTTTTTGGGTTTTTCTTTTGTTACGGGAACATTTCTTTTTTTTTTTTTTTTTGTTCAAAAATAAATTATTACCCTTTGCAGTAAAATTTTTTTTTTTTATTTAATATGAGTGCCTTGGGTTTTAATTTTTTCTTTTTGTTAAAGGTAAACAATTAAGTTACATACGATTGTTTAATTTAAAAATAATAATAATAATACTTTTAAGCATTTAAATTAATTTTCACAAGAAAAAGAAAAGTTTATTAACGAACAATTAAATATTATTTATTATTATCCTAAATGTTATCGATTAGGTACTAAAAACTTAAGAAAAAAAAACGTAAAAATGATTTTTTTCAACATTATTGGTAAACATTATTAAAGGCTGATTTCAATGAAGGCAAATAAAATAAATAAATAAATAAATTATTTCTTATTTTTTGTTAGTTTTTATTAGTAGAATATTGCGTAGAAGTCAGTTATAAATAGATATTAGAATTTTATTATTTGAGTTCATGTCAATTTTCCTTTTTTTTTTTTTTTTTTTTTTTACATCGAACTAAAAATAAATATTTGAAGTAAGAAAAAATATAATAATAATAATAATAAATGTACTGTTTCTAATATATATATATATTTATTAATTTTATAAAAATATATAAAAAAAAGTTTATTTTGAACTTATAGAAACAAAAAAAAAAAAAATTGTTAGAAATGATTTGATGTAGAAAAATATAGAAAAATTATTTTTTTCTTAGAAATAAATAAATAAATAGAAAATGCTCCTTAAAATTTGTTTTTTTTTGTTTTTTGTTTATGTTATTTAAATTATTAATAGTTAAATTTTATTTTAATAATTTGATTTGCAAAAAAAAAAAAAAAAAAAAACAATAAATTTTAATTTATTGTTTTTTTTTTTTGAAAAATGAGTTTTATTAAATTTTGTGCCATATTGGGAAAAAATTTCAATTTTTTTTTTTTTTTTTGTGAGTTAATTAATTTAAAATTTTTTTTTTATTTTGAAAAAGAAAAAAAAAATTTGATCGATTTTATTAAAAAAAAAATTTGTTTATTTAATTAAATCAATAAGCAATAAATAAAAAATTATTAATTATTCTTCTTCTTCTTCTGAATTCATAAAACAAAATTTTTTTTTTTTTAAATTATTATGAATAAAATTATTTATTTAAATTTATTTGCATTAAATTTATTATTATTATTATTATTTTTAATTATTTAAATTTTATTTTATTGTTGAATTTTTGTTATGTAAAATTTTTTTAAAATATACATAAATGTGATGTTATTGTTTTTATGTGTTATAAAATTTTATTTCGAACAATTTAAGTAATTTTTAAAAAAATAATTTATTTTTATGACTTATTGTTTATTATTATTATTATTATTATTTTTATTTTTATTAATATTTAAATTGTTGAATTCATTTTAATTTCATAAATTTTTTTTTTCTAAATTTATCATCTTTACTTTTATCACTTAAAAAAAAAATAATATCACATTTATGTAGTAAAAATTTTTTTACAAAGAAAAAAAAAAAGCACTAAATTTTTTAGTGCAAAATTATTTTAAATAATTTCTTTTTTTTTTTTTTTTTTGTTTTAAACAAAAAGGAGCAAGCAAATAAAAAAAAAAAAAAGTTTTATAATTTTTTCATCTGTAAAATTTTCCATCTGGTTTAACATTTTGTAAAATTTAAAAAAAAAAACAATTTAATAGTATTTAAGTTTGTAAGAAAATTGTGTTAAAAAAAAAAAAAAAAAAAAAATGTAATGAAGAAAATTATTCGGACATTTTAGGTTTTGTATTCCAATAATTTTTAAAATGTTGATAAATTTGATGAAAATATTCTTTATTTCCAGATAACCATATCATTTCTAATGTTATCAACATGTTTTCACATTTAAGAATAATTACTCCTTCGATATTACATTCTTCTTCTTCATTTTCATTTTCAGGTATGTCTACAATTTGTTCATCATTTTTAAATTTTTTCTCACTTGAAACAGGTATGCTTTTGCTTTTACTTTCCAAATTTGTTTCTCCTTTATTAACTGTTTCATTTAGTCTTGCTGCTAATCGCTTTTTTCTTCTCTGATGAGACCAAGTATTTTTTTTGGCACAGAACTTGATAGATAGTTTGTTATTAATTTGTTCTGTTTTATAATTTATCTAAAACAAATTTTATCATGTATAATTTATAATATGATTTAAAATTTGATTAATAAACTTTATGTTACCTGTAACTGATTTAATACTTCTGCGGTGATGGTAAAAACATCATTAATCTCTTTTGAACTGTAATGCGGTATTGTAAAATTGAAAAAATGTTTTGATTTTCTTTTTCTATTCGAACCTAAACTATTACTAACATTATTTAATGAAATGTTTAAAAAAGACCATGCAAGACACCAGCGAGTTGTTTTACCCTGACAAAATTCAGTAAATGTTAAAGAATTAGGTGAAATTTTCATAAGCACTTTTTTCAAGTACAAAAAATCACTTTTTTTACCAACCAAGGTGGTATAGATTTTTATTTTTGTTTTTAACTTTACACTTTCTTCAATTAATTTAGATATAAAAGAAATTTCACCACCTTCAGAACACACTTCTGTTTTTACATTAGAAGCAACAGCATCAACCTGAGGTCGTCTAAATGTTCTATTCACAGGTTTTTCATTGTAATCAAAAAATGGTGGGTTGCACATGCAAAAGTCATAATTTAAATTTTCATCAATCACTCCCAATAATATTTGATTGTGATTTTCAACTAATTTCACCGAAATTAAATCGTTCAAATTATTTTTATTAACATTCGTTACTGCATTTTTATAATTAAATGGATCCATTTCAGTAGCATACATTTTCCATCCTTTCCTGGCTCCTAATAATGAATATATACAAACGTTACCGGTACCTATGTCGATTCCCAGTGGTTTCCCTTCAGAGGGTTCAAGAGCACCTA